TTGAGGCTCCGCCCGCGTCGGCGGCGTCGGCCGACGAGCGGCGCGCACGCTTGGACGACGCCGCCGCCGTCGCGGACACCTGCGGCGAAGCCTCGGCGCCGGCGCCGGCGGCGGTGGCGGCGGTGGCGACGGCGGCGACGGCGGCGGCGGAGGCGGCAGCCGCAGCTGGGAGCGAGAGGTTGTCGTCCGGAGGATGGACGTCGATGAGGAGGTCCCTCGCGTCGGCGCGGGCGAGGAAGGGCGCCGCCGGAAGCGACGGCGGCGCCACCAGCCCACCGAGGGACAGGACCGGCAACCCGCCGACGCCGACGCCGGCGACAGAGGCGATCCAGGCGGCGAGTTCGGCGCAGGTTGCTTGCTCGTTGAGGAGAGGCGGAGGGACCGCCGCAAGCTGCTGCCGGTGCCGCACGGGCAGCGTGGCGTCGAAGCGGAGACCGATGAGCATGCCAATGGGACGCAACGTGAGCTTAGGTTGCCGCCTTTGGTTTTTTAATGGCATCCCCACTGCGAGCTGGGTACTGTGGCGACGTCACCATGGGCAAGGAGGGCTACTACTACCGGAACCTCCAGAGCGCGCGAGTAGGAGCGCGGCATGAATGTGTACCAGGAACTAGAGCGCGAGTAGGAGCGCGGCATGAATGTACTGGCATGAATGTACTGTTGGGTGAGTGTGCTTGCCGCGCCAGTGTGATGTATCTGCTGTGCCGAACGTGCGCGTTTGGCATGCGGAACCTCTCACCTGGTGCGTGGCAACGGGTGTGCGGGCCCCCCTGTACCCCCCCCCCCGGCCTGGGTGTCTAGCAATTGGTCCCTTGGCAAGCGCGAATCGGTCCCCCTGGCTCCAGGAACTGATCCGGCACTACACCCGGATCTATTGCTGTTTACCTCCTCTTAAAATAGAGACCCGACGGTACGCCGACTCAGGGTGTGTGGCAGCCAGCTGGCTGAGTGTCTTGTGAGCTTGTTTGTGTCTGTGTGTCGCTCGTGCGTGTCGTCATCATCTGTCTAGCGTCCACCCATACCGCGTTGGTGTCCAGTCCGAGCCTGGCTGTTCTTCACATAAACGCACAACTCCGGACCCACCTTACTACCTACCTACCTACCAACAAAAGAATTCGCTTTGGGCGCGGCGGCAATGGCAGTTGGATACTCGCATCCTGGCCCGCCCCGCCGGCCCGCCCCGCCGGTCGCGAACGCTGTGAACGGCGCCTCGCCGCGCCTCGATCGCCGCCGCCAAACCGCCTCCCTCATCCGCCGCCAATCTGCCTTGCTCCATGACGGACGCCAGCCTGCTGCGCTCGTGCGTTGAGACCCTCTTAGCCTTCGTGTTCTGGCCCGCAGTAACTCTGATTATGCTCCCATTCCTTTATGTTCCCGTCATCGCGCCATTCATTGCGCTCGGCGTCTGCAGCTCCGACACTGCGTTCGGCGTGCCTCCCGCCCTCCTCGCCTGGCGAAGCCTTTCGTTTCTGATTCCGATGGTGCTCTTTATTGACCTGCCGGTAGCCGTCCTATTCGCAGCGACTTTACTGATCGAGCTTCTATTCCTCCGGAACCCCCTCATCATCGCCGTCTACAGCCTCTGCCGAAGCGCCTCAAGGTTTGCCATCGACCGCCAGCCACCGCTCCCCGACACCGAGGCCGGCCATCCGGCCGGCTTTGTCAGCTCGGCGTTGGCTCAGGCCGAGCATCGCGAACAATCCTCGCCAAACACCAACGACGGCGCCCGCTACCGCGAGCACGACTCCGTCTGGGCTGCCCTCGAGGGCGACGGCGACAAGGTCCAGCCGGGAGATGTGAGGCTGGTCAGTCTGAACTGGCTCATGGCGCTGGCAGAGCGGGGCGACGTGCTGCCGCGGCGGCAGAGCTTGCCAGAGGAGGCCTTCTTGAGCTCTGCTCAGCTGAGGCGGATTGAGGAAGGCGCCAGGCGCGGCTTCGATCGCGCTGGACTGGAGGAGGCCTTTGTGCGCCTCAGCAAGGAGCCCTCCCCCTCGTCCATTCTCGGCTTGCTCGCGAGCTTTTTCGGCCGCAAGCGCAATCCTGACGGGCTGCTCCCGATCGTCTCCATCTCCTATTGCTGGCTCGAGGCGGCGCATCCGGATCGAGAGGGCCGCCAGCTCCAGCTGCTCTGCCGCAAGCTGCGGGGCCTCTACGGCGGGCGCGGCCTGCTCGGCGCGTGCCGCGCCTACGGCTTCTCGGACATGGCGAGCTTCCTCCCGCCTTGCCCCCACCGCCGCTCCCTTCCTCGGCGCCACTCCCTTCCTCGCCCGCGCAGGGGGTGTTTCTGGACTGGTGCTCGGGCTACCAGAGGGATCCGGCGCTATTTGCCGAGAGGCTGTCGTACAGGGAAAGCCGGATTGGGGAGGAGAATGCCGCCTTTGCTCGCATGCTGGACAACACGATGGTGAGCACGCTCCCCCCCCCCCCCCCCTCCCCCCCGCGAGACCGTCCGTGAGAACGAAACTTGCACCTCTCCCCCTCAGCACCACGGCACATTGGCATTAGGACCTCTGGTACGCGCACGCCTCGATCACGGTTGTGCTCCTCACGCAGCTGCCCGACGAGCTGCCCGCCGGCTTTGACCGGAGCCGGACCTACGATACTCGCGGCTGGACGACATTCGAGCGGTGCTCCGCAGAGCTGGGCGCAAAGCCTTCCTCGCCGGTACTTGCCAAGTGGAAGCTCGTCATCGACGTCGCCAGCGACGACGGCGGCGCTCAGCGGCGGCTCCCGACGACTCCGAAGCGCATGGCGACGCTGCTCGCCGCTTGCCGCTTCACCAACGGCGCGGACTCGGAGGCCGTGCTCGCGCTCTACGAAAAGACGGCGAAGGCCGTGCTGGGCACGGTCAAGAAGCTCGACTACTATGGGCTGCCGCTCTTGCGTGGCGACGCGTGGACTAGCCCGGCGCTGCTGGCGGAGGCGCTAAACTATTGCGAGAGCCTCCGGACCCTCGTTGTACTTGGGAATCGCCTCGACGACGAGGGCATGACGGAGCTTGCGGCGGGGCTCGAGGACGGCGCGCTCCCGGCGCTTAAGAACCTCTCCATTGCGGTAAACCGCTACGGCGCGCGTGGTGTCGTCGCGCTCTGCGACGTGTTCCGTCGCGGTGTGGCGCCGACGCTGCATTTGCTCAACGTCAGCTGGACGCCCATCGGCGACAACGGAGCCGCGGCGCTAGCAACGACGCTCGCGATGGGCAAGCCGTCGCGTTCGCTAGACGTGTGGGGCTGCGACGTGGGTGCCGATGGCGCGATGGCACTCGCGGCTGCCCTCCCGGCTGCGGGTCAGAGGTGTCATGTGAACGCCCCATTTAATCGGATGGGCCTCGCGGGCCAGGCGGCACTGCTGGAGGCGCTCGAGGCGAAGCACGGGCCGCAGCTGGGGCATGGCTTTGCGGTGCTGCAGGTGACCTTGCTTCCCTGGTCGACCCCGCTCGTGCGCGCACTTGGTCGAGGGTTTCGCCGTGTGTTTGAGAGCGGCCGAATGCGCGTGTAGAGTAGAGCCTCACTCAACTTAGGGGCGATAGCGAGAGGGAGCTGCTTCAGCAGGAAGCAGGCCCGGACTACTCTGGCCCAAGGTACTGTTCACTTAGGGACAAACACTCTTCGGGGGCACAGACGGGACGCGGTACGAACGGGCCATGCTACACGTGCACTTTCTTTTTTGCAGACGAAATTCTTTTTCATAAGAAGGGGTATAAACGTGCGTCCATTTTACTATCGCAAGTCGGAAGGTGAGACAGCAAGAGCGCCCGGGCCCCGTCCCCACCGACGTCGCTGCCGTCGGAGGGGCCACTCGCGGCAGTAAAGGCGTTTGATGTAGCCCGCGGTGTACTTTTAGCTTACTGGCAGTGATGGCCATTTACTGGTAAAAGAGTGGTATTTACCACTTATTTGATTCTCCTGGGGAGTGGTATGGTATGAGCAGAGAGCGGTAAAAAAATTGTTCCAGTCTTAGCAAGCAAAAAGGAGCACACACGACTCAGCAAGTCCGCACCAGCGACTGCCACTCGCCTAACCATGCCTCGTCACAAGTGCCCTCCCAATCGCGTCCAGGCACACACGCTCCGCCTGTTCTCACCCTAACACTCTATCACACCCTTACCTCCCTCGTGCCAGAGCGAGCTAGATTCTCCCCGCCTCCCTCCCGCCTCTGCCGCGCGCCTTCTATGGACGTCCAGTGCAGCACCTAGGGGGAGAGAGGGGGTTTGCCCTGGTAGCGAGGTGGCGAGGTCGCGCACTGCAAACCCAGTGTGAGGAGTGGGGGAACTGGGACAGGGCAGTACGCCTCTGATCTGTCATGGTCTAGTGGCCGATAGGATCCTCCCTTAGGCAGCGATGGCGGGTCGGGAGAGGCCCGACTTCATAGCCCGCCACTTACTGAGCGGCGGCGGCGCGCACGCACACACAAAGACGCTGCCCCCTCACACCCCGCACCGCACATCACACACTTCTCGTGACCGTTCTTCAGTCTGCCGCCAGGGCGCGCTGCACCGGGCCGTCCTGCGGCCGTCGCTACGTGCGGCAGGGCTCAACGCGGGGCAGCGCGCTGACGACGTCGAATGCGCCGCTGTGGCATCGCGGCGCCGACGACCAGGCTCAGAGGACGACCCGGGTAAGCTTTCCCGCGCCTTCCAAACCATGCCTTCGTCACAATGCCAGCCGGTCCAACCTCCATCACAATGCCAACCGCGTCGCGGCCACCGACCGGCAAGCACACACCTCGGCTCGGATCAACACACGGTTCCGAGGCAAGGGCGAGGGGTTGGCTCCTGGCCCACGAGGGGAGCTTCCGAGACCCGCTTGCTTGCTCTCGTCGGGGTCCGTGAACTGCAATGCGAGTGGGATCAGGATGAGCGCGGCGATGACATTCCAGATGTCGGTTCTCGACATTACCGCTTGAAGCAACGTCTTGAGTTAGTAACGCCTTGCAAGCGTCGGCTTTGCATGCGTCCACGATGATCACGCCCCATGTTGCCGCTGCACAGCGTTTCCTCGAGAGTGTTGCACGCCAACTGCATGATCAGCTCGAGCTCGTCGACTGACAGCCTTCCAGCCATTGATCTGCACGGCGCGCTGTCCCGGCGTTCCTGACGCTATGGACCCACGACCGGCGAGCTGGCACGCGTCGGACACGATGACGCCGGGGCTGTCGTCGGGGTTGTCGTCGGAATGCGGCTCGGACTCACAGCAGAGGCCGAGGCCGCTGTCGGGGGAGTCGGGGCGGTGTAGCCGTGACGCACCTTTCGCATGACCCCCGCACACCAGGGTACAAAGATCTCTCTCTCTCTCTCTCCCTCTCTCTCTCTCTCTCTCACCCAGGCTGCCTTGGGGGGCTCGCGTCGGAGCTGCCGCGAATCGCGTTGATGACGTGTCGAGGGAGATCGCTGATGACGTGATGACAAGGCGGTTATGCGTTTTCTTGAGTATGTTGTTAGCAGATCACGACATAGAGCTCACACAGAATCACAGCGGGTGTGTTGGCAGATTTCTCGAACCCGATTTCTCTCTTCTAAGTCTACCCGCCGCGCTGGGCCTGTCGACAGTCCTGAGCGCTCGCACCGTCGCACCGGCCCGAATGCCGGCCCACCTGAGCCAGGCTGCGGCCCTCGCGTTCAGCCCCGCCGGGGCGGGGCCCTCCTCGTGGGCGCCGCGCGCGTGCGCCGGCCCCACGCCGGCGCTGTCTCCGGCACGCCGCGTCGGCGCCGTGCAGCTGTGTGCGCCAGAGCCGCCGGCGCGGGAGCGGCGCGGGGAGGACGACGGGGAGGAGGAGGTGCAGCTCCTGATGGAGCGGATTCGCAGGCTCGGAAACACCGGCCTCGACATCCTCCCTCCGATCCTGCGCGCCGTGCCCGCGACCGCTTCGGTCGTGCTCGCTTCGGTGCAGTGGGCGGGGAAGGCGGCGCAGCACGTGCGGACGGAGCTGGAGTCGACGGCGGGCGCGTTCGCCGACGGCCAGGCGCCGAGACGCGCCGCCCACGCCTCTCTCTCCCTCTCCCTCTCCCTCT